GGGACCTCGCCCACGAACGTTGGCCCCCATGGCTGGTCCAGCTGCCCCATGAACTCCGCGGGGGTCTTGCCCGTGTGCTACATCGGCTGGTCGTTGTCCTGCACCTTGGTCTTGGGCGCCTCCGCTACTCCTTCTGCGAAGGCCGCTGCGACGCGGCCGCGAGGGGGGCCGCGTCCGTGGCCCTTGCCCTTCGCCTTCGCCTTCCTGCCGCGCTCGCGGCCGGTCTCCATCGGGAGCTGGATCCACTCTTCCGCGAGGGGGGCCGGGGCCAGCCAGAAATCGCTGGCGAGGTGGGGGAGGTCGCGGATCTCTGCTGTGTTCTGGAGGGGCCTCCGCTGTAGTGCACGCGTGCTGTCTCGTGGGTTTGTTTGCGCTCCCTCTCCTCCCCCACCTGGGCCACCGCCTCCCGGGTGTCCTCGACCTCGCCCTCTCGGTTGGGTCGCCTGGCTGCCGCTGCCCTCGCCGACGTTGGCCTGCTTCCGCGGTCGTAGTAGTCCTGGTCCTGACGGCGGCGGGCGCTTGACTCGCCGCTCCATCGCCTCGACCACGGCGTTTCAGGCTGCGTGCAGCTTCGCCTCCTGCCGCTCTGATCTGGTCACGGCCCGCGAGGTGCTCTCGCATGTGCGCCTGGCATTCCTCTTGCGTTTGAGCCTGATGGGCCAGATCATGCATGTTAGTGTCCTGGATTATTGCATGGGGTGGGCCCACTTGGGCCTGTTCTGTCGGCGCATCCCGCGCTTGTGGACCGATATCGTGGCATGATCGATCGTTGTTTTCCTGTCTACCGACGTACTCTTACACCACGGGCACTGGCTGTTGACTATTACTGCTGCAACAATTTGTCTAATGTGGTGCACTTCTCGTCGGCGCCCTGCAAGGGCCGCGTAGGTTTGCCATCTCGCCCACTCTGAGCCCGCGTTAACATGGTTGCACCAGTGTGGTCGTAGTAAATCATCTTCCTCTCCCCCATTGACCTCGGGGACCTCCCCCCTCCTCGCTAGTGCGTCCCAGTTTCTTCGTGGCTGTGCAATATTATGGGGTCTGTATGTAACCGTAGTTTTTGTTCTGTGTTCCCTGTCTCGAAGATAGCCGAAGTCTCGTTGCGCGCGCCATCCCACCCCCTCGTCTCTCTCTCTCTCTCTCTCTCTCTCTCTCTCTCTCTCTCTCTATATATATATATATATATCTCTGTATGTTTGTTATTATCTCTCTCTCTATATATATATATATATATCTTCTTTCGTTTGTGTGTGTGTGTGTGTGTGTTTTTTCCCCTCTCTCTCTCTCTTTCCTCTCTCTCTCTCTCTTTTTTTGTTTCTCTCTCTCTCTCTCTCTCGAGGAGTAGCTGCGTGTCTGCTGCAGGGTCTTGGGCCCGCAGAGTAAGGCGTTGCCCCATCCAACCCATGCCCGCAAGCCTCCCGGCCCCCGCGATGCAGCTAGTCGGGCGGCGCCGAATCCTGCAGCAAGCGCCGCGCCGTGCTCCTTGAAGTAGCCGGGCCAGCTCCGGCGCCGCCTTACTCGTCGCACCGCCAATGCAATGCTTTATCGTTCCACCCTCCAGTGCCTGAATACTTGTCGTAGGTTGTCGCGGCGCGCGGCGCCGCCCCCCGCCTTCCAAGACTCGGCCCCTCCTCCTAGCGCGCGCGCGTAGTTGCCTAGTGCGCTGTCTAGCGCATTGGCGCTTGCTGCAGCAGTAACGAATGCAGTTGGTCCGCCGAAGGCCGCGCTTATGACGGAAGCCATGTGCACTGGTCGTCTAATGTGTCGCGGCGTGTCGGATGTCCAGAATATACCGCATTGTCGCCGCGCAAGACTTACCGCGCTGATGTCTGGCCATTCGCCTGCGACGCCCCGCCCCGCTGGTAGGCGCGGCATGTCTCTGCGGGCAAGACCTCTTAGCGTGGTGCTGCGTCTCAAGGCCCCGGTAGTGCCGTAGTTGCCCCTGCCCACTAAACATAATAGGTGGTTTGTTGCGCTGTGGCTGAGGCCCCAACCTCCTTCTTTCAATGCGTCGGCTAGACGGCGTGTGCTGTTGATGCGTGCATATATCTCTTGTGCCGTGGCCGTTTCTGAGATGGTTTGTACGTGGGAGATGTCGTTCATGGATGCGTTGAGGCCTATGCCGTGTGTTTAACCTCCCACGGGGTCGTCGGTGTCGCGTATAGTCTGGTTTGGGGCACTTCTTTCCTGTGGCCACCATTTGCTGACGTAGATACTGTGCGCGTCGTTAAATTGTTGCGGGCAGAGAGTGAAGCCCATTTGTGCTCCAGTCGCGCTCTCGGCTTCTACTGGGCCGTCCGCCGCCTCGAGTGTCATGGTAGAGTGGTCAATGGCAGCCATTGCGTATAGTTGGTCTCTTTCGTGTGTGCGTTTGAACGCAAGCGTTTTTAGTCGTGCTCTGTTTGATGCTGCAAATGCGTTGGTGCCGTCGTAGTTGGCGGTGATGGTGCTGATCCCTCCGTGCGCGGTCCTCTACTGTGCGGCTTGTGCACGTAGTGCGGAGTTTTCCCTGCACCTGCGCTGCAGGCCTCCCTCCACCCATGGTGGGTGGTCAGTGGGGTGGCCTCGTTGTTATGTCCCTGAGTGCCGTGCAATTCCAAATGAATCGTAGGCGCGTCGTATCCAGTTGCCTTGTATGCAGTCATTGGGATTGTTTTTCTTTGCTGGGAAGGCTCGTGAGCGATGCCAATCTAACGGCGTAGCCTGGCAGCTGCGACGCTGTAGTAGGAACTGGTCGAGGTAGTACTTGTACTTGTGCTGGAGCTCGTGCATCCTCGGCGCCCCCACTCCTGCGCCAGTCCCTCTGCCCACTCAGCGCGACCGTTGTTCCCACGTTTCTGCGTCGTAGTCGTCGTCCACTGGCCTTCCTGCCTTGCCCAATGCTGTTCCCATAGCCCACCCCATTTTGCGTTGTAGTTCCCTCCCTTCCTTGCAATTTCCCAAAATAGTGTAATGCTCCAGGTCCTCCTCGTCTCCTCTCTTTTTCTGTTGCTGTTATCCTGCAGAGCTCTAACTGGTCGGATTCGTCGGTGGGGTTCCTAAGGTGGAGGGAGGGGTTGAGCAATAGCCAGGTTAATTATGTCGGTATCCCCCATTCTGGCCATGCTCTTGTTTTGCACGACCTCTGACAATATCGGAACAATACTTTTTTGTCTTTTGACCTGGCCTCGCAGTTCGGTGTTTGCCGGTCGACGCTGGATATTGTCGGAAACATGTCAGGCGTGCTCGGCTCGACTTTCGGCTCTGTCGATCGGTGGTACTCCGGGTCCCCCCTCGAGCGCTAGTCGCCCCAGTTCTTGAAGCCACTATTGCTTGGGCCATCTTGTTTTGGGGGTGGGGTAGCAACGCTTCTGAGGGTCTCTGCCGTTCCGCCGGCATTGCATTCTCGACCGATGCATTTCTGAAAGTTCCTGCGCTCGAAGGCCTCCCATTCTACAAGCTCGGCCTTCCTCTCCTCCTCCACCTGTTTCCTGGCTTACACAAGTACAGCGCTTATTTCTTTGAGCTCGGCTTCTACTTCGTCGTGATCGTCGGCCGTGCGAGTCGTCGTCGTCGTAGGCTCTGTCGTCGTCGTAGTGGCTGGAGCCGATTCGCTTTTGCTTTCTTCGTTAGCTCGTCTACCTCGTCCTGTCCTTGTTCTTCACAAACGTAGTAAAAATGGCCTGTCGTGCTGCCCCCCCAGTAGGTCCCAGGTAGTTTCTGGGGTCTGCTCTGAAAATGCCTCATCCCACTCTTACCTCCCCAGTGCCTCTACCTCCTGGTCGATGGTAGTAAGGAGCTGTTCCCGCTTGTGGCCGGTGTGGAGACACTCCATCAGTCCGTCTCTGCACAGTCCTTGTTGCATACGGGGCCGAGTGGGGAAGGAGGAGGTGGCGGTCGATACCTGAAATGTTAAGCCTATTGGCAGATGGTCTCTGTGTCCTCGCGCTTTTACCTTCTGGAGTCGTTTGCCAGGTGGGTGGGGTGCCGCGCATTGTTTGAGAAGCCCTACTGCACCAGTATGGATAGCTATGTGGTCTACTCTGCTGGTGTGGCCCGAATGTCCGTAGTATGTAGGGCCTACATTGTAGTGGGTAGCTACTACGCAAAAGTCGCTTGTCTGGCACAGGTTTCTGTAGCTGGTGCCGTGGGCGTTCTCTATATTCGGCAGCTGCCTGCCTATATGCGAACCTCTGCTGCGTGTTACTGTACCGTCGTAGTCGCGCTGGCATCCTAGCCCACTGTTCACGTCTCCTCCCAAGATACTTGTAGTGCGACACTTTAGCTTGTTTGTGCGTTGTTCCAACCACCCAGTGATACTGTCGGCCAGTGTCGAGTAGTATGGGACGTGTGTAGGTGCGTAGTAATGCATAAAACAAAAAACCGTAGTCGTAGCCCCTGATGGCGATTCGGACTCCTGAGGCCCGTCCCTGGAGGTATGCTGGTGGGGTGTATACCTCTCTGATGGCTCTTCCGTTTATCCTGTGACTGGTTAGTATGGCTGTCCCGCAACTCTTGTTGACCAAATTGCCTTTTCGGGACTCAATATGTAATGGTACGTGTTATGGTAGGTATGTGCGTTGTACGGCCTCTCGTCCTGCCCATCTGCACGTACTACATAGTAGTAATACGTAATATGTCCCAGCTGTGTAAATCCGTACTTATGTCTTCGAGGCGTTCGTTGTTCCCCGCCTCCAGCGGGTTGTAGTAGCAGATCCGCATGCTAGTAGGCCAGGTCAAGCGGTCGTAGCCATGAGTGCTCCCCAATCCCCCCTGCCCCCGAGGCGAGCGGGTGTGGGGGGCGCAAAATCACTGCTGTAAGATTGTACATGGAGGTGCGGTCGGTATCCTTTTTGACCCTTCAAAAAGCGACCTAGCAGGAGAAGGAGGAGGAGGAGGAGGAGGAGGAGGAGGGAGCAGGAGGAGCAGAAGGGGCGTGAGGAGGAGGGAGGCAAACGATTCGTTCGTATGTCTTCATAGGCCGCCTGACCTCGAGATCCGATTCCCCTGGGCCCTCCCGCCTGCCGTGCCTCGCCGCGAGCGCCACCTCCCAGCACAGCCCGGCGAGCGCCAGGGCCACCAGGCAGCGGCAGACCGCCTCGGGCGAGGCACCGCGGCGGGGCGGCCCCCGGGCCGCCTCCCCGCGTTGCCAAAACATCTCGAAGGGAGAGTTTTGGCCGAATTCGTCGAACCCCTCTCGCGTTGTGGAAAAATCACGACCCGAAGTTTTTCGCTTTTTTCGGTCTCCAGGGGCCCTTCCCGGGCCTCGGGGCCGTCAAGAAACGACTCAGGATGCAAAACCGGTCCCGGGGGAAAGGGTCCGGACCTCTGGGGGTCGACGTTGCGAAAAAATCATGACGTCGGCGTTTCTGGGTCTCTGGAAAACCTCGATCCCCGAGCTCTCCCCGGGTCTCGATCCCTCCTCGTCCGACAGAAAGGGCCTGGCCAGGGTCGGTGCAGGCCTGCGTTGGGCCGCCGAGATCTCGACGTCGGCAGATCTGGCAGAGATCGGCGCCGTCCCCGATCATGTCTTTGTTGCTTCTCCCTCGACAGCTTGTCTGCCAGGGTTCTCTAGAATTCTCTTCCAACTCTCGGCGAGGGAGCCGGGGCCCTCGAAGTCAACGGCCCCTCGCGGCCCCCCATCGCGACACTGTGTGAAGCTATCTGGGGCCGTCTGCCTCGCAGGGGTGCCATTTCAATCGCGGCGTTTTTCGCTGATACCAGCGCCCGAGGCCCGCTCTTGGGCCCACTGGAGCATCGAAAGAGGAACCCGGACGAGAAGCTCTCCTCCTCCTCCTCCTCCTCCTCCTCCTCCTCCTCCTCCTCCTCCTCCTCCTCCTCCTCCTCCTCCTCCTCTTCCTCCTCTCCTCCTCCTCCTCCTCCTCCGCCTCCCCCTCCTCCTCCTCCTCCTCTCCTCCTCCTCCTCCCCTCCTCCTCCTCCTCCTCTTCTCCTCCTTCTCCTCCTCCGCCTCCTCCTCCTCCTTCTCCTCCTCCCCCTCCTCCTTATCCTCCTCTCCTCCTCCTCCTCCTCCCCCTCCTCCTCCTCCTCCTCCTCCTCTCTCCTCATTACACACATTCCTCTCCTCCTCCTCCTCTCCTCCTCCTCCGTCCTCCTCCTCCTCCTCTCCTCCTACTCCCTCCTCCTCCTCCTCCTCCTCCTCCTCCTTCTCCTCCTCCTCCTCCCCCTCCTCCTCTTCCTCCTCCTCCTCCTCCTCCTCCTCCGCCTCCCCCTCCTCCTCCTCCTCCTCCTCCTCCTCCTCCTCCTCCTCCTCCTCCTCCCCTCCCCCTTCTCCTCCTTCTCCTCCTCCTCCTCCTCCTTCTCCTCCTCCCCCTCCCTTATCCTCCACCTCCTCCCTCCTCCTCCACCTCCTCCTCCTCCTCCTCCTCCTCCTCCTCTTATCCACCTCTTTTTTAACGTTGGGCGGACATTGAGGCCAGGCGTGTTGCGTTCCACGAGAGAATTAATGCATGAATGTGCCGACTTAGGCAATTGGTGCCCTCCTCCTCCTCCCCCTCCTCCTCCTCCTCCTCATCCTCCTCCTCCTCCTCCTCATCCTCCTAATTACCCACATTCCCTCCTCCTCCTCTTCCTCCTCCTCCTCGTCCTCCTCCTCCTCCTCCTCCTCTTCCTCCTCCCTCCTCCTCCTCATCCTCCTCCTTACCCCCCTCCTCCTCCTCCTCCTCCTCCTCCTCCTCCTCCTCCTCCTCCTCCTCCTACCCTCTCCTCCTGCTGTTTGGGAGTTTCAGGTCGGCTATGGCACGCATCCGCGGATTGATGGAATGGATAAATAATCAGCACAACGGGAAGGAATGGGAGGGCGGGATAAGACGTTAGATATGGCGCGACTGCACCTAGCTTGTCCCACCCCATTCCCCCTCATCCTCCTCCCCCCTCTTTTCTTAAACGTTGGGCAGACATTGAGGCCAGGCTTGTTGCGTTCCCCGAGAGAAGCAATAGATGAATTGGCCGACTTTCCCCCCGGGCCGTCTCTCAGGGACCCGCCTCCCCGCCTGGAGCCGTTCCTCACAGCTCTTTGGGCTTGAGAGGTGCCTCGAAAAGATCCGAAAACCGAGAAGCCCCTCAGATGCAGACGCTGCAACTACAAACACGTGACGGCCAGTTTTTCAGCGGTTTCGGCGCCCAGAAGGCAAGACACCTTCTTGGGCACCTCGTGGGGGCCTCGTGTAGCCTCTCGGGCACTCTTGGGAGCGCCTGATGCCGACCTTCCCGAGTGCCTCTTCCATCGTGGGAGTCGTCGTCCAGCGTCGACGGCACCAGCCATAAGGCCTGAGCGATCCCTCAGATGCAGGCGCTGCCAAGAAAAAATGTGACGGCAGCTTTTCCATCGGTTTCGGCGTCTGGACGTCGTTACTTTCGTGAGAAGGAGACCGCCCCGTCTCACTGCCCCCCTTCGCTCGCTGCCGAGATACCCGGCCCCGAGGAAGTGGTCGAAGTCTCAGGTCGGGCGTGTCCTCCTACAGGGGCATTTCGGACGAAAAACAAAAGATACCCGAAACAAGATTCAACACTTGTCAAAACATACTGGACAAATCGTCCTCAGATTATCTTTCCACCATGCTTGAATACTCCTCCTGTAGAGGGACAGGCCCGACTTCCTCGAAGTCTCTGGGGGCCGACGGCGCGAAAAGATGCCGGCGTCGGCGGAGGGGCCTCGGTGCGCGGCCCGCCCACCGTGGCACGCGGTGCGGCGGTGGCGGCCTGCACGCCCGGCTTCGGCGGCCCCGCACCCCCCCGAGAGCTGCGCCCCGGAGCTCGTTCCAGCGAAGCGTCTGTCTTCCACCACCACCATAAGTTGGAGGGGGAGGGGGTGCTCCTCCTCCTCCGCCTCCTCCTGATCCTCCCCCTCCTCCTCCTCGTCCTCCTCCTCCTCCTCCTCTTCGTCCTCCTCCTCCTCGTCCTCCACCTCCTTCCCCCCTCCAACTTCCGGTGCTGGTGGAAAACAGGCCCATCATCCGGCGAAGGGTCACTCGTTTTGGTCAAGCGCGTTCCACTACTCGCAAAGGAAATACTCGCAAATGGCCTGGACCCTCCGCGGGGGATGTACGGTCCATCACATCGAGGAAGACGCGTATTTTCCGGACGTTTGCGAGTAGGCACTTTACGAGTCGTGGAACGCGCTCGGTGCCTTTTGGGTAGCCCACCGCCTCCGTGAAGGCCGGGACCCAACGGAAAGTGGCGTCGCTGCAGTCGAATATCCGCCGGCCCCCCATAATGGGAGCTTTCGAAGCTTTTTGCGGCTAAGAGGGCCAACGAAAATCGACAAGGATGGACCGAGGAGGCAAGGATGCATATTTATATATATAATATTATATATATGGGTACCCTTGGGAAGGTTGCCCATCCTTACAAGGCGGGTTGACTGTAGCTGCCCTAGGCCTCCTAGATGGAGTCGGAGTAGATGGGGTCGGAGGATCGCGCCGCATCGGCGATGCGGCGCGATGCGGAGCCCGATTTTCTCCACGTTGGCGTCGCCGATGCATCGCCCACGTCGACGATGCATCGCCAGTGCATCGCCGATGCATCGCCGATGCATCGCCGATGCATCGCCGATGCAACACCGATGTATCGGCGATTCGGCGCTATCCTCCGACACCATCTTTTCCAACCCCATCTAGGAGGCTCCTAGCTGCTTTCTCCTTCTCCGAGCAAAACCTAAAAAGCCTTGCGAGCGCTGGCAGTTTAGCTGTGGCATGCCGTCTCGTCGTCAAGGTGCCTTGCGCCGTCTCGCGAGGAACGTGCCTCGATCGTCGACCCTTCCCGCTGTCCCCTCCCTCCATTCCCCCCCCCTTTCTCCCTCCCTCCCCCCCCCTCCTTTCCTCTTCCCCCCTCCCTCCCTCGACTCTTGTCCCCCCCCCCCCCCGTCCCCCCTCCCCCCTCCCTCCCTCTCTCCGAAAGACACAAGCATGACCCAGAAAGGGGCAAATGGATTCCAAGCCTGCGCACTGCCTCCTGACGATCGTTTTCGGCGTCGTCTTCGCACTCCTCCTCCTCCTCCTTCTCCTCTTCTTCCTCCTCCTACTCCTCCTGCTCGTCCTCCTCCATTTCTTGTCCAGGTGCATAACTCCTCGCTGTCGCACCCCGAGGCTTGTCGGTAGGGCGGGCCGGACATTCTGCATGACACTTCCTTACAATCTATGATCCTTAAGCTGAACATGTGCAAGAGCTTCATGGATGGAGGGTGGGTGGTCTTCAAAATGTGGCAATCGCAGTAGCGCCGCGCACACTCGTCTGAAACATTTGCAAGGGTTTCACGGATTGGGTGCGAGTCGTTTTCAAACTATGAGCCCTCGCACTAGCATCGCGCACATTCGTCTTCCACTTGTGCAAGAACTTCGCGGATGGCGGGCGGGTGGGTTTCAACATGGTGCTCTCGTCTTGGCGCCGCGCACATTCGTCGCAACATATTGCAAGAGGTTCGCGTATGGAGGGCGGTACCTTTGGTAACAAATGGCTCTCGACTTAGCGCCGTGCACTCTCGTCTTAAGAGTTTACGGCGGTCTCACGGATTTCTATGGCCGACGTACCAGAAAAGACTTTGGCGCACGATGTAAGACTGTCAGGGCGCACCAGTGACGTTGAGTCGCAGTGTTGAAGTCTCAGGAATGGTGCTCTGGCACGATTTAAATTCGTCTGGAGGCAACGTTGATTCGCGGCGTTGAAGTCCCAGGAACGGTGTTCTAGCACGGTTCAGGAGTTTCAAACGCTTGTCTTCCAACTGGGCACTCCATTCAGTGACAATAAGACCTTCTAGGGACCTGTGAAAAGGAAACTTGGAGGGAGGGTTTATGGCAGCATCGTTGATGAGCCTTGGGATTACACAGGTCCTCCTCCTCCTCGCTCGCACGACGCTGCCTCTGGCTCCTCTTATTGCTGCCTATCGGCAAGCCCTATGCTCCTGACAAAAAGCATTCCTACACCTAGGTAACGGGAGGACTACAGGAGGAGCGCGCCATGGACGCACCACGGACGTGTCAGGAGCACGTCACGGGACTTGCCTGGGGCCGTGCAGGGAGACGCGCCAGTGGATGCGCTGGGGGACGTGCTAAGGGATGCGCCGCGTGACGCGCCTCGGAATCCACCAGGGGCGCGCCAGAGGACGAGCTCGCGGACTCGCCCGGAGACTTGCTGCCGCCTCTGGGGCGGCCCCTCGGCTGCCAATGTCAGGCTGGCTCCCTTCGCTCCCCAAGGCGCCTGGGTCCCTTGGGCCTGCTTCCGACGAATGCGCCCCGGGGAGCCGGCCAGCCCAAGGCCCGACGCCGCAGGCCACGCGCAGCCCTCTGGGCAGGCCCCGGAGGTCGAGCCTCGAACCCGGCACCCCATCGGTGCGATGCCGCCCCCCCGGAGCCCCGCGAGACAAGACCCGCGCACGGTCGGAAGGTCCCATCTGGACCAGCCGACGCTCCGCCGCCCAAGCGGAAAGCCGGCGCCAGCGTTGCGGCGGGGGCGGCCTCTTCGTCGGCCTCGGTCGCAGTCCACCTCGCTCTGGTCAGCCCCGAGGCCGCCCTGCTGGACGCCGCCCAACTCCTCGTCGGCTTCGCAGCTGCCCACCGGCACGAAGGGGTCGCCCGGCACGCGCAGGCTGCGGGAACCGCCGGAGGCGGGCAGCGGACCTTCGACCCCCACGCGTGCTCCGCTCACCAGCTCAGCCTCTGCATACGCTCACCTATACGCTCCCTCCCCGAAGATACGTCTGGTCCTCGCCGCTTCCCAGGATGGGGGGGGGGGGCCGGCCCCCCGCCACTCCGGGCGGGGAGCCCGGCGCGCTGCGTCGTCCCAGGAGCGCTTTCCCCCCCCGCGAGCGCGCACGTCCTCGCGGGAGGAGGGCCAGGCGCTGAGCGTCCTCTTCCCTCCTCCTCCTCGTCCTCCTCCTCCTCCTCCTCCTCCTCCTCCTCCTCCTTCTCCTTCTCCTCCTCCCAAAGATTGGGGTCGTTCTGTCGTCGCTTTTCGTCCGGCTGCCACCGTTCCCCAGCGCTGTCTTCCGGTCGCCGTGCTCTTCCTCCTCGCCGTGCTCTTCCTTCTCGCTGCGCCCTCCGTGCGGGAGGCTCCACCGGGTGGCGGACAGTGCGCTCTCCCTCTCCTTCCCGCCACTCGCGGCCCAGGCTAGCGGCGGGGGGTTCGGCCGCCGCTCTTGACTGGCTTCGCCCCGTCGCCGCGCGCGAGGCCGCGACCGCCAACAAGTAAGTCTGTGTGTGTGCGTGTGCGTGGCGTGTGTGGCGTGCGTGTGTGGAATTGACGCACATCTGGAAGTGGTTTGTGGTAAAAGTTGGGACCCTCGGCGGGGGAAGACGGGGGCCTCCAGACCCTGTTATTGATGGGAGATCTTCGGGCGGGCGCGCTCGAGGCATTCTCCTTCGACCAAAAACGATCTAACCCCAGATAATTTCGCGGGCTCCCTCCAGTTATGGCAACGGGGATCAGCCTACTAACTACAGAGCAAAGTGGACCCAAGCCATTTCTGGGCACAAGAGAATCCGAGAAGCAACGCTGAAGGGAGCCAACTCAGGGGGGGAACATCGACCTGGAATCGGCGATACATCGCCGATAGATCGGCGGTCGGCACTCGGTTGGGAAACTGGGCGTTCGTGGGCGGGGTGTGGGCTGTCGGGGCTATATTATGCTTCCCAGTAAGCTGGACCCTTACCTGGTGTTTCCAATTCTCTCCCCCATGTAGATTTTCGATTCGAAAACAAAACATATAAATCTGCGAAGCCTTCTTGAGGCTCCTTCGAACCTGCTGAGAGGCCCCTTCTGGGCACTCCTCGAGAATTGCTGTGCGTTTGTTCGTGGGGAGTGCGGATGCCAGCGGAATTCGGGAAGATTCCGGAGGAGTTCGTGAGGACTGCTGCAGGACTCCCCACAGATCCCTTCGGACTCCGAAGGGATTCCTGACGGTTTCCTGCAGGATTCCCGAAGCTTGCCTGAGGATTCCCGAGGGATTGCGGAAGGATTGCTGAAGGATTCCTGCAATATTGCTGCAGAAGGTTCCTCATGGATTCCTTATGGATTTTTGAAAGATCACTGGAGGATTCCTAAGGGATAAGGACTCCCAAAATATCCCGGGGAACGTCTGCGAATTCCCTGCGGGATTCTCGAAGGATTGCTGAGGTTCCTGAAGATTGCCTCTGGATTTCTGTGGATTCCTGGACGGTATCAGAGGGAGTTCTGTGTAATAGACAAACCATTCCCATGGGATTTCTGGGGGGGGTCCTGCGGGATCTCTTAAGGAATGCTGCGGATAGACCATGATTATGGTAGTTCGCGGGATATCGTCAAGAGCATTGCTTGGGACGTTGGCTTATAGACTTGTGCGCTGTGTTGTTTCGGATATTGTTCACGATGCTGTCTTCGCATACAGTTTATAGTTCGCAGTCGCGTTCATGATATGGTGCAACGTGGGGTTCAGGAATCACGTCGTATATTGCATAGAGTAGTGCCTGGTGTTTTTTGAAGGTATTGTTCAAGACTGGATCAAGGACCTAATTTTGGATGTTGTGCATGAGTTCTCTAGTTTTATTACCCAGGATGTTTTTGTGATCTTGTTCACTATATCGTGCATCATCTTGGGCATGTCGCATGCCTCAACTCCACAGCGTGAGAGGCGCGAGCGCCAGCTACTGCGGCGCCCAGCCCCCGATCGCTGTGACTCGGGGCTGTCCGCTGAGAGCAGGTCTGGGTCCGCGGATGCAAGGTGTGAGTGGCGGACGCGCGCCTCCCGAAAGCAGCCGCCCTAACCGGGGAAGCCCAGAAGCCTCTGAAATGCCACGGGGAAGACCTTCAATTCCTGAGAGTGCGGGGTAGGCTCTCGGACACAAGACTCATCTACTGCACAGCCCCCATTTACAACACACGACCCACCTAATACACAGCCTCCCGCTGCAAGAGCTCACCCTAGGATGTGTTTGTTGTGGTAAAACTTACACCAGGGAAAGCCCAATCAGTGGATTTCTGATTTTTTCGCAGGTGCCTCGATCGGCCTTCCTCCCGCCCTAGTCTAGTTCGAATGTACGTTGTAGTCCACTCTAGTCATTCGATGTTGCTCTCTCTCTCTCTTTCTCTATGTCTCTCTCTCTCTCTCTCTGTATCCCTTTTTTCTTTCTCTCTCTCTCTCTCTCTCTCCCGTGGCGTCCCGTGGCGCGGGGGCGTCCCGTGCCGTGCTATATGCTATGCTGTGTTATGCTAGC